GGGCAGTGCAGTGCGGAGCAGTGCGGTGCAGTGCGGTACAGTGCGGTGCAGTGAGGTGCAGTGCGGTGCAGTGCGGTACAGTGCGGTGCAGTGCGGTGCAGTGCAGTGTAGTGCGGTGTAGTGCGGTGCCAGGCAGTACAGTGTGGTGCGGGGCGGCACGGAGCAGGGCGGGGTGGGGGGGGGAACCGTACCAGTGAGGAGGACGGGGCCGGGGCTGGCCCAACGGGGCCGGGCGGGCGCGACGGGGCCGGGCTGGTGCGACAGGGCCGGGACGGGGCGACGGGGCCGAGCGGGCGCGACGGGGCCGGGCTGGGGCGACGGGGCCGGGCGAGTGCGGCAGAGCCGGGCCGGTGCGACGGGGCCGAGCGAGCGGGACGGCGACCGGGCGGCTGCGATGGGGCCGGGCGGCTGCGACGGGGCCAGGCGGGCTCGACGGGGCCGGGCGGGCGCGACGGGGCCAGGCGGCTGCGACGGGGCCGGGCGGGCGCGACGGCGCCGGGCGGGCGCGACAGGGCCGGGCGGCTGGGACGGCGCCGGGCGGGCGCGACGGGGCCTGGCGGCTGCGACGGGGTCGGGCAGGGTGCGACGGGGCCCAGGAGGGGCGCGACAGAGCCCAGGAGGGGCGCTACAGGGCCTGGGCAGAGCGCGGCGCGGCCCAGGAGGGGCGCTAGGGGGCCTGGGAGGAGCGCGACGGGGCGCTACGGGGCCTGGGAGGAGCGCGACGGGGCCCAAGAGGGGCGCTAGGGGGCCTGGGAGGAGCGCGACGGGGCCTGGGAGGGGCGCGACGGGGCCTGGGAGGGGCGTTACAGGGCCCAGGAAGGGCGCTACGAAGCCCAGGAGGGGCGCGACGAGGCCTAGGAAGGGCGCTACGGGGCCCAGGAGGGGCGCGACGGGGCGCTACGGGGCCTGGGAGGAGCGCGACGGGGCCCAGGAGGGGCGCTAGGGGGCCTGGGAGGAGCGCGACGGGGCCTGGGAGGGGCGCGACGGGGCCTGGAAGGGGCGTTACCGGGCCCAGGAGGGGCGCTACGAAGCCCAGGAGGGGCGCGACGAGGCCCAGGAGGGGCGCTACGGGGCCCAGGAGGGGCGCTAGGGGGCCTGGGAGGAGCGCGACGGGGCCTGGGAGGGGCGCGACGGGGCCTGGGAGGGGCGTTACAGGGCCCAGGAGGGGCGCTACGAAGCCCAGGAGGGGCGCGACGAGGCCCAGGAGGGGCGCTACGGGGCCCAGGAGGGGCGCGACGGGGCGCTACGGTGCCTGGGAGGAGCGCGACGGGGCCTGGGAGGGGCGCTAGGGGGCCTGAGAGGAGCGCGACGGGGCCCAGGAGGGGCGCTAGGGGGCATGAGCGGAAGCGGTAGGTGGGGGGGATCCTACCTACGCGTGATACCATATCAGAAATGAGAATTGAATAGAATGTAAAGTGAGAGTACACACAAGTATACCTAAGTATTGTACCCTCTAAGAGGTAACCCTATACAGTCTATACAAACATGACAAATGCAGATGTTTGACACTTTGAGCCTCAGCTTGGAAGAAATACACGGAAAAATCGTGAGGGTGTTTCATCTCGCGAGTTCGCAATTTGACGTGGACTGTCACAGGATCGAATGTGTCGAGGAAAGGTTCCACTATCGATCAGTACAAGGCGCTTTTATACTTCCAGAATACATCAGGTAACCAGGTTTATCTTATCCTAAGGGAATAGACCCTTCTAGAAGATAGAATCACCCTGCGTATAGCCACGCGAGGCTATTGGCTTTAAGGGATTACAGCAGGATTACGCTAGATAGAGCGCACCAATACATCCCAAGCCTGGTCGGTGATGTAATGATAATAGCAGGATAAACCAAAGGTTAATGGAAAAGGAAGAATAGGAAACCAAATGAGATGCGGTAAAAAGAGAAATGAAAAGGGAAGGAAATAAGAAAAGGCCAAGTGGTGTAACGGGGTCGTACTCTCACATGGACCGTCAGATTTTCTTGCACGCAGTGCGATGGCTGAGATTACATTCGATTGATTGGGGGAAGCACTTTGCTTGCGCACCGTCAAATGGGAATCCACAAAAAAATGGACGGCCAAAAAACGCGAGGCACTTGGTGTCCCAAAATACCTTCTGCACTGAACTTGAAAAACACCCCCGAGTGATGCGAGCCACGTTACCCCCATCTACACCCACGAAAACGCGAGTTTCAAACGCAGTGCGTTTGAAGGCCGCGCCTCGCAATTTGGGCCACGGGTTTTGAGAGGACTGTGACGATCAGAAATTATAGAAGGTTTCATCTAAATTTTCAGAAATCGGTATTCATTTCGTCTGGGAAATCCGGAAAAGAAAATCCACACATCTGATGATCCTGCACACAGTCACATCACAACTCTTTTTCGTTTTCACTTTCGTTTTTGCACAACCGTCAGAATCACAAGACCCGCAGTTCGTTCTCGTGTTGGCCTCGCGTCAAAATCAAATTCACTCTCTTTGCCAAATCAGCGTTTCTTTCGTACACGACCCTAATGGAAAAGCAAATTTTGGCTAGGCAACTCTGATGAACAGGGCCTCAGATTGGTTTTGAGGTACCCTGATTTTTCAGGGCTCCAAAAAAAAAACCGCTGAGTAATCAGGGTTACTTCAGAATATCACTCTGATTTTACGAAATTGGGAGATGGGCGGAACGGAACTCGGGGAGGGCAGGGACGGGGCAAAGTAGGGGGGGGAAGAAATGAGGGAGGGAGGATTCTCGTGGGAATCATGATGTTGCTGAGGCCATCAATTTTTGCGGCAAATTTCTGCAAGAAGCCTCGGCCAATCAAATTTCGTTGATCGATCCAAGGTTGCAGCTGTTGTGATAAATGAAGTTTTGCATTCCTGAAAGTTCCATTTTCAGTGTAGTTAGCAGTATCGAGTTTCTCGGTAAGGAAACAGGTCCGAGTAATGATGTCAGCAAAGCATCGTGCATCTTGGGATGACGTCAGCATACCGCTTCAGTTACGCGATTAGGCGTAATGAGTCGTTTCAGTCACGCGAACAGTCGCGACTCTATAGTATGACGAATAGGTCGCATAGCGCGATAGTGACGAACATGTACATTAGCGAACAGGTACTTTTCCTAGAGCTATAAATCCTTGTAATGCCTTTCTATTATAAACCTTGACTTTCCACAGAATTATGTGCTCAGGTTATTCAACCTTGACTATCCACAAGTTCATGTGCTCAGGTTCAGTCTGATAAGACTTCCGCTGTCTTACTAGTCTACCATTCCAGCAAAGATCCTAGGCCAACACTTGAGATTTTCCAAGTGTTCGTGATTGCAGATTCTATACTTAGTCTCCTGCAACACCTGTCAAAATATTACAGCAGCAAGATCGCAGGAGCGGGAGGAGGAAATCTCGCCCTCACACAATGCTCCAAGGCGCTCATTGGGCCCTAAATTCGACTAAGGGCCAAGTCCTGTCACACATCCCCCAACACACGCTAGCCCTAAATTTGGCGAAGGGCCTAGTCCCCCCTCACACAACCCCCTAGCATACATCGAGCAGGGGAAACATGCGGTTATTATGGCAGGGCAATCATGCTGTTACAGGGTCCACTACAATAGTAACGCTATACAAACAGAGTTCAGCCATAAAAAAACCCTGAAATTTCAGGGTTGTGTTTAAAAAAAATCCTAGCGCATCAGGGTTGGTAAAAAAAAAACCTCTGAAAAAAACCTGAATCAGGAAAATTTGCCTGAAATCTGAGGGCCTGCTGATGAATCAGCGTAACTTTTCTTGAGGAGGCTGATGGAAAGTTTTTTTTTGGAACATGACACTGAGCAATCAGCATACCCTAAAACCAATCGTGGGTGTTAAATTATATACTTTGTTATATAATTGGTAGGCTTGGTAGGTGTAATTGCAACCAACTGTAGAGGGTACAACCCCCCTCGTTGTATGCCTCTCTCTTCTATTCTGCCGTCCTGCCGTGTCCCCGTGTCCCCATCCTGTCGTGCCGCCGTGCCACGGTACCGCTGCGCCGCCATGCCGCCGTGTCGCCAGCGCACGGACGGCTGTGGCCAGCGCCCTGACGTTTCAGGAGCCGCCAGCTCACCCACACGCCAGCCAGCGTCGCTTTGCCGCGGGCGCCTTGCTGGGCTTCACCCCCCTTCCCCCCCTGCGTCTCCTCTTCCTCCTGCCGCAGCTGCTGTCTTCTACCCGGTCGTCGCCGGGTCGTGCCACACCGCCGAGAGCCCTCAGCCGCGGCAGTCGCCACCTGCCGTCATCGACGCAGCCGCCTTGAGCATGAGCTCCGCCACTGTAGTCGTTGAGGCTCCCCAGACGCCGCCAGCTGCCTCTCGCCGGGGGTGTCATCCAGGGCCTAAGATATCAACCTTAAAGCCTTGGTTTGCTTAATTTCAATGGCTGTTTTTTCTGTTGTCTATGATTTTCCAGTGTTTGCAAACTGCCCATTGAGACTTATTCCTAAACAACAGGTCCCTCACAAGCCTTTGTATCATTTGCATTAGCCAATGCCAAGATATGGACTGGAACCGAAACCCAAATCAGCCTAAAAAGTCTGATATTTAAGGGCCTGGTGTCATCGCTTCGCACGAGGGGTGGATACCCGGCTGATCACAAGCATGAGGGTTTACAGGGTTAGGGGGTGTGTGTGTGTGTGTTGGGTGGGCTTGTGACTACCAAGCCTAGGGGGTGTGTGTGTGTGTGTTGGGTGGGCTTGTGACTACCAAGCCTAGGGGGTGTGTTAAATTATATACTTCGTTATATAATTGGTAGGTTTGGTAGGTGTAATTGCAACCAACTGTAGAGGGTACAACCCCCCTCCTTGTATGCCTCTCTTCTGTTCTCGATCTCTCTTTTCTCTCGTAACTTCTCTCCTAGCTAAACCCTCGTGCCATTCCATGGCTTCCTAGCTACCCTAGTCTCGTGACAGTGGAGCCTGTACCCATGGAGTGACTATTTCGGCAGGTGTTATTTACAGGGGATTACTGTAATAGACCGGGCAAAGGGATCACAAATGGATTTCGCGTTTTTATTCTGATCTTACTTCGTAGGACTTCGCCCTCGACCACCCCAAACCAAACTGAACATGGCAGCATGTAGTATTTACACATTGTACAAACCACTAGCACCGTCACAGCAATGATATTGCAGAATGCCATCAGATGCCCCCTAAGACTCCACGCGCCAACCAGCAGCAGCTTCAATCATCCCTGTCAAAAGGTCTTCTGATGTTTCTGTCAACTTATACATATTATCTATGTAGAAGTTATAGGCTAGACTGAGGTATGCTTCTAGTGAGTACAACCAACTAGTATTTGTTCTAGGTTTCCACCTCTAGTAATCATTCGTTTCTACGTTAACATGGTATCACGCTTAGGTTAGGATCCCCCCGCCTACCGCTTCCGCCCGTCGCGCCTCCTAGGCCCCGTCGCGCCCCCTAGGCCCCGTCGCGCCCCCCTGGGCCCCGTCGCGCTCGTTAGGCCCCGTCGCGCCCCCCCTGGGCCCCGTCGTGCCCGCTGGGCCCCGTCGCGCCTCCTAGGCCCCGTCGCGCTCCCCCTAGGCCCCGTCGCGCCCGCTGGGTCCCGTCGCGACCCCTAGGCCCTAACGCGCCCCCGCTGGGCCCCGTTGCGCCTCCTAGGCCCCGTCGCGCCCCCCATGGGCCCCGTCGAGCCCGCTGAGCCCCGTCGTGCCTCCTAGGCATCGTCGCGCCTCCTAAGCCCCGTCGCGTCCCCCCCTCTGGGCCCCGTCGCGCCCGTTCGGCCCCGTCGCGCCCCTCCTAGGCCCCGTCGCGCCCGCTGGGCCCCTTCGCGCTTCCTAGGCCCCGTCGCGCCTGCTAGGCCCCGTCGCGCCCCCCTGGGCCCCGTCGCGCCCGTTAGGCCCCGTCGCGGCCCCCCTGGGCCCCGTCGTGCCCGCTGGTCCCCGTCGCGCCTCCTCGGCCCCGTCGCGCCCCCCTGGGCCCCGTCGTGCCCGCTGGGCCCCGTCGCGCCCCTTAGGCCCCGTCGCGCCCGCTGGCCCCTGTCGCGCCTGCTGTTAGCGCTCGCCCGCCTGGCCTCCTCCTAGTGCCGCTCGGCCTCCTCCTAGTGCCGCCCGGCCTCCTCCTAGTGCCGCCCGGCCCCTTCCTAGCGCCGCCCGGCCTCTCCTCAGCGCTGCCCGGCCCCTCCTCGTGCCCGACCGGCCCCAGCAGCACCAGCCTGGCCCCTCCCAGCACCAGCCCGGCCCCAGAGCACCTGCCCGCCTCCCCTGCTCGGCCTGCCGTGTCCTCTCGGGCCCTGTGTCTTCTGCTCGCCTGCGCTGGGACGCCTAGCTGCTGCCCTACTGGAGAGTGCTGCCGCCGTGTCCCCGCGCCGCTGTGCTCCTGTGCCGCTGAGGAGCTGTGCTGCTGTGCCGCTGTGTCGCTGAGGAGCTGTGCCGCTGACCCTGCACGATGGCTGACTTTGTGCTCCGCCTGGACGCTGAGGGCCACGCGGTTGACTTCGCCGCCTGGCTCTCCGATCTTCGCCGCCAGCTTACAGGTCAGCGCCAGGATGGCCACTCTCTGGTTGTCCATGCTGATGGCTTGCTCCCCCGTCCCCCTGCACCTACTCCCCTCCCTGCTGACCCCTCCTCTGATGACCGTGAGGCTTTCTCTACTGCTGCGCTGGCCTGTGCGATCTGGGACTCACGCGATGCAGTAGCTCAGGTTGCTATTAGTCACGCCCTCCCTGTGTCTGAGCGCTCGCGTTTTGCTACTGTTGAAACGGCCAAAGCTTATTTAGACGCCGTTATTGCTCGCTATTCCACCCCTGCCTCCGCTTCTGCTGGCCGCTTGCTCTTTCCGATGCTGTTCCCAGACCTGGCTGCCTTCCCTACTGTCGCAGATTTTGCCACTCATTTGCGTGCCCTAGAGACTCGCTATCGCACTGCCAGCACTGCTGCCCAGCTCACTGCGCTCCCCCCTCCTTTCTGCATGACGCTCTATTTTATCGCTATGCGCCTGCCAGACCGCCTCGCTAGTGCTCGCGACCACTTTCTTAGCCAGCACCCGGGTGACCTCACCCTGACCGCCTTTGTCGACACCCTCACTGAGATCGAGACTCGCCAGCGCACTATCGCTCAGTCGAGCGGTGCGCCGCCAGTCTCTATCTTTCACGGCTGTGCCCCATCCCCGTGCACGTTCACTGACGTTTCGGCTGCGGTCGCCACGGCGACCCCTCTTACCGAGACGGCTGCTGCTGTCCACCCGCAGCAGCGCTCGCGTCGCGGTGGCCGTGGCCGCCAGGGAGGTAGGGGTGGTGACGCAGGTGGTAGTGGTCGTGGTGGTGGTGACGGTAGTCCGCCTGAGGGGACTACCACCGGTGGGCAGGAGCAGCAGTCCCAGCAGCAGCAGGACCAGCCCCAGCCACAGCCGCCGTCCCAGCAGCACCCGCCGCAGCCGTGGGCTCGTCTCCCGCCTGGTTGGCCCGGCACCTCCGGAGGCGGTGGCCGTGGTGGCGGCCCGCGCAGCTTGGCGTCTACCAGCGGCTCCAGTGCTGTGACCTGCCAGTACCAGCTTCAGACCGGGCCTCTCCGTGGCACTCTGTGCCGCCGCCCGCACCCGACCGCCCGCTGTTTCCGCCGCCTCGACGATCTTTTTCGTCGTCGCTTTGGCCCGGCCCCGGACCTCCCTGACTGGCACAGCCTGCTCCGCCAGGGCGTGCCGATCTTTGAGTTAGACATGGATCAGATAGGTGCTGCTTTGCATGCTTTGTATGCTGACGCTTCTAGTGTTGATGGATCTTACTACCCTGTGTACTCTAGTTTAGGTGTTTCACCCTTGTGTAGCTTAGCTTCCCCTGCTGCGACAGGCGTAGGACTGCCTAGGTTGCCTAGTCTAGTCGCTGCACCGGCTCCGTCCCCGGCCCCCGCCACTGCGTCGCTGTCCTTCACTCTCGACTCTGGTGCTTCTGCCTGCTTCTTCCGCGACCGTTCCACACTCACGCCGCTTGCTGCACCTGCTGTTGTCTCTCTCGCTGACCCCTCTGCGGGTCCGGTCGTCGCGCGCAGTTCTACGTCCCTTCCCTGTCCGGCAGTTCCCTCGGGCTCCCTTACTGGCCTCCACGTTCCCTCGTTCTCCAGGAACCTGGTTGGTGTCGGCTGTCTCCAGGACCTCGGCGTCACCACCACGTTCCCCGGGCACGAGCGGTTCGCTGTCTGTTCTGAGGCTGTCTCAGGTTCCCCCCTTGCGACGTTCCCCCGGGACCCGGTGTCCGGTCTGTTTACCCTACACACCGCTTCCCCCCCGGTTGGTGCGTCCTCCCAGGTCGCTGCAGCTTGCTCGTGTCGGTCCCTCACTCACCCCTCCCTTCTCTGGCACCACCGCTTAGGTCACCCTGCTCTCCCGCGTCTGCGTCACATGTCCCAGCACGGTCTTGTCTTAGGTCTCCCCGCGTCGCTCCCTGCCCTTCCTCCCTCGACTGCGCCACCGTGCACGCCTTGCGTCGAGGGTCGGCTCCGCCGTGCTCCTCACTCCTCCTCGCTGCGTCCTGCTACTGGCCCCCTTCAGACCCTGCACTTGGACGTTTGGGGCCCTGCCCCCGTCCCCGGACCGCGCGGTGAGCGCTACTTCCTTGTGCTTGTCGACGACTACACGCGCTACACCACGGTGTTTCCCCTGGAGCGGAAGGCCGACGTGCCCGACGTTCTTCTCCCGTGGGTTGTGGCTGCGCGTCTCCACCGCGGTCTCCCCGTGTTGTGTCTCCACTCCGACCGTGGCGGCGAGTTCGCCTCTGGTCGGCTTGGACAGTTCTGTCGTGCGGAGGGCATCACCCAGTCGTACACGTTGCCGGACTCGCCACAGCAGAATGGGGTTGCTGAGCGCCGCATCGGCTTGGTCATGGAGGTCGCCCGTACCTCCATGATCCATGCCGATGCCCCCCATTTTCTGTGGCCGTTCGCTGTTCGCTACGCGGCTCACCAGCTTAACCTGTGGCCACGCTCCCAGCGGCCGCAAGTTTCGCCGACCCTCCTTTGGACCGGGTCCCCCGGTGACGCGTCTGCGTTCCACGTCTGGGGCTGCCTTGCTCACGTTCGTGCCTCTGGCACGGACAAGCTCACTGCCCGCACTGTCCCCTGTGTCTTCCTCGGTTTCCCCCTGGACTCGTCTGACTGGCTTTTCTACCACCCGCCGTCTCACCGCTTCCTCCACTCTCGTGACGTCACCTTTGATGAGTCCGTCTCCTTCTACCGCCGCTTCCCTCACCGAGGTCTCCCAGTTGCCCCCCCCCTTTTCCTTGCTCCCTCTCCCCCGGTAGCCCCTGCCCCTCTCCCGCCTCGTCCTGCCCCGTCTGGTGTCTCCCACGTCACTCCCCTCCCGTCGGTTGTCCCCGTTGAGGAGTCTGCTGACTCTGGTGGTACCCCCGGTCCGTCCTTGCCGCGTCCCCCTTCCCCGGTGCCTCCGCCCCCACTGTCGCAGTCGCCGACCCCGCTGCCGCCGCCGTCGCCGTCGCCGCCGCAGCCGTCGCCGCTTTCGTCGCCGCAGCTGTCGCCGCTGTCGCCGCCGCCGCAGCCGTTGCCGCCACTGCCGCCGCTGCTCTCGGCCCCTGGGGGTGCTGGTGTGGAGGAGGGTGTTCGTCCTGCGGCTTCTGGGGGTGCCGCTGGTGTTGGAGGGGGTTCTCGCTCTGGGGTGTTGGTTCTGGGGGTGCTGCTGTTGAGTGTTCTGCCGACGGTCGTTCTGCCTCTGCTGGTCCGAGAGTTCCGGCCCAGCCGTCGTCGCCGCCGCAGCAGCCGTCGCCGCCGGTTTCCGCTCTCCGCCTGCTCGGCCTTCCCTCCCCGGACCGCGCGCCGGTGTCTCCCCCACCGCCTCCTGACCTCCCTGTCTACGGTCCTGTGTTCCCGCCGCCAGACTCGTCTCCGGCCCGTCTTCCTCCTCGTTCCCCTCCTGTGTCTCCTCCGCTGTCCCCTGACCCTACCCCTCCGTCTCACGTTTGGGCTCGCCGTCCCTCCCGTGCTCGTCCCGTCTCTCCTGTCCTGCCCACCCACCCTATGTTGCTCCGTTCCCACTCGTCTCGTCCTCCCCTCCTCCCGTCCCCTCCTCCCTCGTCCCTTGCTGTTGCACCTCCTCCGTTCTCTGACTACCTCCGTGCTGCTCGTCCCCTTGTCCCTCGGGTCCTTGCCTCTCTTGTTACCGACCCTGCTGTTCCTGTCTCGCGCCTTGACGCGCTTGTCGCTGCTGTCGCTGACTTCGCTTCTACCCGCCGCCTTGACTACGCTACCGCTCTGGTCTCTGACCCTGCCCGTCCTCTGTCCGTCGGGGGTGCTCCTGCCCTTGGCAGTGACGTCCTAGAGGACAGGCAGTACGAGCTGGCTTTCCTTTCCGAGGCTGCTCCCCATCTCTGCTCCATGCTGTTAGTCCCTGAGGGTGACCCAGACGCCTTCGACATCCCGACCCCTCGCACCTACGCTGAGGCCACCTCGGGACCTTGGGCCTCTCAGTGGATAGCTGCCATGGAGCAGGAGATGGCATCTTGGAGATCCACCGGCACTTACGTCGACGCAGTTCCCCCGCCTGGGGTGAACGTAGTCGATGGTCGGTGGCTCTTCAAGGTGAAGCGCCCCCCTGGAGAGCCGCCTTTCTTCAAGGCGCGCTACGTGGCCAGAGGTTTCAGTCAGCGCGAGGGGGTTGACTTCTTCCAGACCTTCGCCCCGACCCCGAAGATGACCACTCTTCGGGCGCTGCTACACGTAGCAGCACAGCGTGACTACGAGCTTCACTCCCTCGACTTCTCTACTGCCTTTCTTCAGGGCAGCCTACACGAGCAGGTCTACCTGCGCCGACCACAGGGCTTCACTGGTACCTTCCCTCCTGGGACCCAGTGGCTTCTCAGGCGCCCGGTCTACGGCCTGCGTCAGGCTCCCCGCGAGTGGCACGACACGCTACGTGCCACGTTAGCAGACCTGCAGTTCTTTCCGTCCTCTGCTGACCCTTCACTGTTTGTGCGTTCCGGCCAGACTCCGTTCTACATCCTTGTCTACGTAGACGACCTGGTCTTCGCTACTCCTGACAGGGACGCACTGGCCTCTGTGAAGGCTGAGCTGCTGAAGAGACACACCTGCACTGACCTTGGAGAGCTGCGTCGCTATCTTGGCCTGCAGATCTCTAGGGACAGAGCAGCACGCACCATCACTCTGACCCAGTCACACTTGGTGCGTCAGGTCCTTCAGAGGTTCGGTCTTCAGTTCTCCTCCGCACAGCCCACACCTCTACCCGTAGACCATGGGCTCTCTGCTCCCGTTCCTGAGGAGCCAGTAGAGCCCAGTGGCCCCTACGCAGAGCTGGTGGGTTGCCTCATGTACCTGATGACTTGCACTCGCCCAGATCTCGCATACCCTCTCAGCATCCTGGCTCGCTTTGTGGCTACAGGCAGACACCGACCTCAGCACTGGTCTGCCGCTAAGAGGGTTTTGCGTTATCTTGCTAGTACATCAGGCATGGGTTAGTGCTAGGAGGACGCAGGCCAGTGGTCCTTACTGGGCACACAGACGCTTCTTGGGCAGACGACGCTGAGACGCTCAGGTCGTCGCAGGGCTACTGTTTCAGCCTTGGTTCGGGTGCTATCTCTTGGAGATCCACTCGCTCGTCGTCTGTGGCTCAGTCTAGCTGTGAGGCTGAGATCTACGCTGGTGCCATGGCGGCACAGGAGCTCCGCTGGCTGACCTTCTTGCTCACAGACTTAGGTGAGCGGCCTAGCTCTGCCCCGGTCCTGTACGCTGACAACAGGGCCATGATACTCCTGTGTCAGGAGCCTCGGCTTGAGGGCAGAGCGAAGCATATCCAGCTGCGGTACTTCCTCCTGCGCGAGCTACAGCAGCGCCGCCAGGCCCGCGTAGTTCACTTGGCCTCAGGTGCCAACACAGCTGATATCTTTACTAAGGCGCTTGCGCCTAAAGATCATCAGCAGCACTGTGTACAGCTTGGTCTTGTTCCTATAGCTGCTCCCCTGTTAGGATCCTGATTGTGTACTCTCTATTATATATGTTTGTCAGACTGGCCTTGTGGCCTTACCTCCAGTGGCTGGACTAGTAGTGCCACCCTGGCTTGCTTCAGTTTTGGTTGTATTCTTGCTGACTGGTCTCCAGACCCCTGCCTCAGTGGTTGGACTAGTAGTGCCGCCCTGAGCTGTTTGCTTCTTGTTTAGTTTCACCCCTTGTCTAGCCTAGGGGGTGTGTCAACTTATACATATTATCTATGTAGAAGTTATAGGCTAGACTGAGGTATGCTTCTAGTGAGTACAACCAACTAGTATTTGTTCTAGGTTTCCACCTCTAGTAATCATTCGTTTCTACGTTAACAGTTTCCCCAGAACCTTGTTTTCGACTGCACCGCCTCAGCTGTTTTAAATCATGGTACCGCCTTAGCAGCAGCTTCAATCATCGCGGCCATACAACTGTCTCTTCACATCGCCCCAGAACTTAGCCGTGAGGGCTTCAACCAGAGCTGACTGATTTGCTTCAAGCTCCTGCAGCTCCGCCTGTTGAGCTTCGAACTCACGTTGCGCCTCTGCAAGTGCCTCCCACTCCTTGTCGTCTGATAGGAGCGCCTGGGGAAGAGTGTCACAAGTGGGATGCAACACGAGCATCAAAGGGGCGACGGCGGAGTACAAGAAGGAAAGAAAGAGAGTGTGGAAAGGAGATCGTGTGCACGGGGGTCTGCCACCAGCAAAAAGAGTGTGCGCATGGTTGGGTGTGGTGGAATGAGGGAAGGGGAGTTGCGGCGGGAGCAGGGAGTGAGTGTGAGAGGCCAGGAAGGAAGGGGGGAGGAAATGGGGAAGGGGCAGCGGGAGGGAGTAACAAAGAGACTGAACGGGTGATGGAGAGAAGGGGGGTAGACAAGTGGAGAAGTGCACACACTCCCCCATCCACCCACCCTCCCTCCTTCCTCCTCCCAACACCCACCTCCACCCACCCACCCACCCAGCACCACCCCCCGTTTGCCCCCCCACACAGACTCAAACCACTCACACCCAGACCCCAACGCCTGGTATCTCTCTCTGATCACCCAGACCCCAACGTGCCTGGTATCTCTCTCTGCTCGCCCAGACCCCAACGTGCCTGGTATCTCCCTCTGGTCGCCCAGACCCCAACGTGCCTGGTATCTCTCTCTGCTCGCCCAGACCCCAACGTGCCTGGTATCTCTCTCTGCTCGCCCAGACCCCAACGTGCCTGGTATCTCTCTCTGCTCGCCCAGACCCCAACGTGCCTGGTATCTCTCTCTGCTCGCCCAGACCCCAACGTGCCTGGTATCTCTCTCTGATCGCCCAGACCCCAACGTGCCTGGTATCTCTCTCTGCTCGCCCAGACCCCAACGTGCCTGGTATCTCTCTCTGCTCGCCCAGACCCCAACGTGCCTGGTATCTCTCTCTGCTCGCCCAGACCCCAACGTGCCTGGTATCTCTCTCTGCTCGCCCAGACCCCAACGTGCCTGGTATCTCTCTCTGCTCGCCCAGACCCCAACGTGCCTGGTATCTCTCTCTGATCGCCGCCTCCTGTGCTGCCTTGTCCTGCACAGCTCTGTCTGCCACCCGCCGTGCTTCCTTGGCTGCCCTCTCGAGACCCTCGGCCCTCGCAACCTGCATGATGGAGGTAACAGTGCACATGGTACAGGGTAGAGGGTACAGGGTGCAGGGTACGGGGTGTGGGTAACAGGGTGCAGGGTACCGGGAACAGGATGCAGGGTATCGGGAACAGGGTGCAGGGAACAGGAAGACTTATGAACGGCAAAAAATGTGCAGACTTCACGTGCACTGCTCTGTCTACCACGCAGTCTGCTTCCTTGGCTTCCCTTTCACCCTCGCAGCCTGTAGCGAGGCAGACAGAGAATGGGACAGCAACGATTGTGGTACAGAAAAGCACGAAGAGTAAGCTTTTTGAGAATTCTCAAAAAGGAACGGAAGGGTGAGGGGGGAAAGGGAGGGAGACCAGCTGATTCACGCATACCAGCTCCTGCCGCCTGCATCTCCCTCTCGTCCTCCAGTCTACTAGGTGCGCTACCCTAAACCCTAAATCCCAACCCCCATTCACACATACCAGCTCCTGCAGTGTGTCATCCATCTCCCTTAAGTGAGCATCCCTCTCGGCCTGCAGCCTTGTGGCCTCGCTGCTCCTCCGATCCTCCTGCAGCCGCATCTGCCTCACCGCCCTCCTCCTCTCCTCCACTGCCCTCCTCTGCCCCTCCACGCGTGCCGCCATGGCGTGCCGCACCGCCATCTCCACCATGCGCCCGTCCATCGCTGACACCATGCCGCCCAACCCCACACTGGTTCCGCCAACACCAGGCGCACCAAGCCCCACAGACCCACCAGGAAAACCTAGCCCTACAGAGGTCCCACCCCCGGCAACACTCAGCCCTCCAGCGCCTCCCTGGGTCATCATAGCAGCAGGGCGCTTCATTCCCTGCACCCCAGTAGCTGCGCCACCTCCCCTGGGGCCCTCCGCAGTCTTCACAGCCACCTGTTGCTCTCTTCCGGCCTGACCTCCCATGTCAGTCGGCTGCTGGTCGTCCAGTCGCCAAGCAGCGGGCACAGCAGGTGCAGCAGATGGTGTTGCTGGCGCTCCAGCTGGGGAAGGTAAGTTCCCCGTGGGGGCCACAGTTGGAGTCTTGGGGGCTGCACTCGTTGCTGGAGATGCTGCCGCCACTGCAGGTGTTGGCGCAGCCCCCTCGTGCCACCATTTTCTGCTCCTGCACCTGCCACTGGCTGCTTCTCCTGCTGCTTCTGCTGCTGCTTCTCCTGCGGCTGCTTTGCAGGGGCATCCGAACCACCAGCCATCTCGGCAATCGGTTGGGCCGTCGCAGGCAGAAGGGAAGCAACGCCGCCAAGCACTGCCTCAACCTCAGCTGCAGCTGCAGCTTCCCTCCCTTCTCCCTCTCCCCGCACTTGCATCTGTACAGTGGCCTCTGTGACTCGCACCACCTGCTGCTCCTCTGACACCGGCACCGTCTCTCTGCGAGGGCGCTTCGTCACCACCGTCACTGTTGACCCACCCTGCCCTGGTGCTGCCCCTCCTTGCCCTGCTGCCGCTCCTCCTTGCTCTATTGATCCTCCTGTGCCTGCAGCTTGCATCTGTTGATCTGCTCCACCCTCCTCACCTTCCCCTGCCTGCCCCTCTTTTTCTTCCGCCCCTCCTTGCCCGCCCGCCCTCCTCCTCGAGTACGTCTGGGGCACCTCGCCTGTCTTCAAACCCTTCCCAACGCGCCCTGTGCTTCCCCCCACCCACCCGACCCTCTCTTCTCGAGGCCTTACAGGTCTCTCCTTAGTGATCCCTTCTCCCGTCACTGCAGCAGCAGAAGCCTCTCTTGCTGCTGCTCCTACTGCTCCTGCTCCTGCTGCTGCTGCTAACAGCGATTCTGCTTGCTGCGCCTCTTCCGCTTGCTTCTCCTCTGCCTCTTCTGCCACTAAGGCGTCTCTCAGCAGCCCCTGGATCTCCTCCTGCACGCCCTCCCCTCCTTCCTCCTCACTCCCTTCCTCCAACCCCGTCACCTCCTCCCCCTCCTCGCCCCCTCCTGCCCACTCTTCCCCCTCCCCTTCCTCCTCCTCCTCCAGCGTCTCACTGGCCGCCTCTCTCTCGCCCACCAGCACGCCTTGCTCCACCGGGGGAAAGTCTTCCAGCCTCAACCCGCTCAGCAGACTCCGCTCCCTGCAGCCTCCTTCCTCCTCCGCGCCTTCACCCCCCTCCCCGCCACCTCCGCTCTCCTTCTCTGCGGCCTTTTCCCGCTCTAACCGGCCTTCCGCCTTCGCCTTACGCGGCCACCCTCGTCGCCCCCTTCCCCTCCCCCTGCGCGCCCCTCCTCTCAACCCGGGCTCCCTCGCACCCCCTCCTCGAGATCCTTCCGCCTCCGCCTCGTCGCCCCCAAGACGAAGCTCCTCCTCTCCGAGAATCCGCCCCTTCTCCGCCGAAACCCGCTTTAACCCCCCACGCGCCTTCCCGCCACGCGCGCCACTCGCCTTTCCGACGGGGCTCGATCCGCCAGTGCCTCGTTCTCCCCCCTCGCTCGCTGCAGCTCCTCGCTGCACGAATCCTCCACCCCTCCCCACCGATCCTTTATCTTTCTCAACCGACTCGGCTGCAGCGGCAGACGCCTTTCCCTTTCTCGTCACGATTCCGCGATCCGCTCCGCTATGGCTGCCAATCCCGTGGCGATCGGTCTCGCTACGGCCGCTTCCCCTTCCGCCAGCACCTCCCGTCGCAGTCGCAGTTCGTCATCGCCGCGTGCTCTCGGCAGCCCGCAGCATCTCTGCACGTAGCGAGCCGAAGCAGGAATTTCAAGCAGAAGCACTCCACACTTCGGGGGGTGTGACGACGTCGGTCTCTCAATCTGGCGTCCAGCGTCCAGCGCCCATCTGCGGGGCGAACGAGGCCGCTTTCTCGCCGTCCAGCTTCCAGCTTTACTCGCGTCGGCATGCGAGTGACGAGCGGCGGGGCCCAGCTTTCGTCGAGTCCAGCTTTCTTCCAGCTCCCAGCGACACCACGCCACGCCATGCCGAGGCGGGCTCTCAAGCGTCCCGCGCCACGGCTTCATTCTAGCTGCATTCCACGTATCCCTGTTCCAAGCTTGCTTGCTTGCGTGGGATAAGCGGAAGCTCGCGACAGGTCTGGCGGCTGGAAAGGCCAAGACAGCAGCCTTGCTCGGCGCGAAGTTTGACACGTGGCAGCGCCTCCTTTTACCTGGGTGGTGGTGGGTATTTATCGGGTTTTTAGGTTAGCGGTAACCCTTACTGGAGTTTTACTCTTTTGAGTAACATTTAGCCCTTTCACGGAAGGGTTTTTCATTGTTCCAACCCTCCTGGGCCAGTTTTTTGTTCTTTGAGGTTAGTTCGCACCACAGAAAACCACGCGTCACAATCTCCTTGCTCCGTCACTTTGGGGCTACTGAACTCTGTTTTCCTGCGATATTGTGGGATCTGTAGCGCTACTGAAAATGGCTGACAACATTCGGGCAGGCTAGCTGGCAAGAAAAAAACTAAAACCCATAGGGGCGAGTATGCCATTCTGGTTGGCATCAACCCTAAATTCGTGGCCCTTTTGCGAGTTTAGGGTTGATGCCATCCAGAATGCCATGCCAGGCCCATAAGGGTTTTATTGTTTCTGCCCTCTGCCCAAGATTAAGGAGATTGTTACACGTGGTTCGCTGTGGAGAGAACTAACCTCGAAGAACAAAAAACTGTCCCTGGGGGGTTTGATCGGCGAGAAACCCTTCCGTAATAGGGGCTAAACGTGATCCCAAAGAGTAAAACGCTAGTAAGGGTTACCGGTAACCTAAAAACCCGTATTTATCTCCCGGGTAACCAACATCCGAGGCGATGACGTCAGCAATCACCTACGTGGCTTCACGGTAACCATCAGATCGATTTCTTCCCAGCGTGGTACCAATTATCCCTACATGGTACCAATTTGTATACCACAGATTTTGTAAGGAACTTTCCATTCCTTACCGAGCGGTACTGCTAGCGTGTACGCTAGAACACACCCGAAGCCTCGGGACTGTTCCAGACCTACTGACAGAACCGCCTCGGCTTCTGCAGACCTTCTAGTTCGACCTTCGGGAGTTCTCCGGGCCTCGCTTCGTCACTTCGAGACCCTTCGATCTCTTTCCCGAACCTTCCCATCGCATGGTTAGACTAGCTCTGGTGTTCCTATATCTTGGCTTGCCATTCCTTGTATCGTCATTCAGTGAGTGAATATCTCGTTATTCATTTCCGCGCTACTCTGCTTGTTCATTCATAACACCTGGTATTCAGAGCCACTTTCCTCGCTCACCCGTTTTCGTGAGCTGATTTTTTTATTTTTTATTTTGGTAAGTCCCTCACGTAAGCTGCAAAGCGGTTGCTCGCGAATTATACTGATTAATTCGCCCAACTACGATAGCGTTTGCGCTTACCTGAGTACAGGCACATTACGGATTTCCCCCTGCCCCGGCGGAGCATTCGCCAAATAGACCAAGCTCAGTTCAACGAGCTTCGGGAGCAGTTCAACGCCATGAACACACGCATGGCTACAGTGCTGGAGGACAACGAGCGACTTCGTGCGGAAGCTGCTGAGTTACGTCAGGCGCGAGAGGATTCGCGTCAGAAATCTGCCGCCCAAGAAGAGGTCGCCAGCACCGGACGTGTCGAAACCGTCTTGGACGAAATCGCACGTGAGGTGTCACAGGAGCGCAAGGACAGTGAAGCCGCCGCGGCAGCTGAAGTGGCAGCACGAGCAGCAGCCGAAGCAGCAGCAGTAGCGACAGCAGCAGCCGCTCGGTCAGAGGCAGCCGCTACTGTAGCCGCACCGGCGTTTATGCCGATCGTGACGACAGCGACAATCAAACCGACAATGCCGCCCCCGTTCAACCCCACAGATAAGAATACTACTGTTACGGGCTGGTTATTTTCGGCGGAACTTTATTTTAATGCCGCCGGGATCAGTTGACGATTTAAAAATTCGACTGGCTGTATCACTACTGCAGGGACCTGCGCTGGATTGGTGGCGATATACTCTACAGGAGGGGGAACTTTCGGCAGGCGACACACAGGGGTTTTTCTGAAACTTTGGGTCTGCTGCCCAAGGGTCAACCGCGATTTTTGGATCGACCAAGATTCGCACGTGGAAGGCGTGGGGTACAGCTCTGCGTGAACGTTTCGAGCCAATATCCGCCTCGGACAACGCACGCACGAAGCTGGACAACTGGCGCCAGTGGAGTTCTGTCCAGGATTACGCGTCGATCTTCATGGCGTTATGCGATCAAATCACCGACATGCATGACTCCGAGAAGAAAGCTCGATTCATTTCGGGTTTGAAGCGGGACATTAAATGCGAGGTCCGGTTGCGACTACCGGCGACGTTTCACGAAGCCGTCCGGATCGCAGACAACTTCGACGCACATCGGACGTATGCGAGAGCGGGTTCCCGGGAGGGAAATCGTTTTCGTGGCCAGGATTCACGGCCCACGATTCACGGCGTAGTGGCAAAGGAGCACGTGGAAGATTTTCGCAAGGGGCAATGTTTCAACTGCTACCAGCCGGGTCACCAATCTCACGATTGCCCCCGAAAGAAGCAGATAAAGAAGAACGACGAAGGCAGGTCGGGAAACGCCAAGCGTCAGTAGCGGTCGGGCCCCCTACTGACCCTGCCTCATCGCCCGAAAAACATCATCCCCACCGAGTAGTGGTTCCGATACATGCTATCAACCGCTCCCGGTTGAAAAAGGAGGATGACCCAGTGGACCACCCTGTACTGGCGGAAGGACGACTTCATGGAAGAAAAATAAAAATATTCATCGACGGAGGTGCGAGTCACAGCCTGATAAATCGAGAAACAGCACGACGACTACACCTGACGCTGGAGAGGTGTCTGCCCGAAATCGACGCGCGATTAGTGGACGGTACCCCGCTGGCGATACGCGACAAAGTTCCCGTCGTTCGCATGAAGTGTGGCGACGATTTTGGTTTCAGCGCGCCGATGCTGGCGACAACGCTCGACAGCTACGACGTGCTATTGGGACGCGATTGGCTGCGAAGATTCAACGCGCAGATCGATTGGACAGCAGGCGAGTGCACAGTGAAGTGCGACAAAGGTTGACGAAAATTACCCACGTGGCCGAAAGCAGAGACAATATCGACACGAGTCAAAGCGGTGTGCCTCAATCGAGCGGTCAAGAATGGAGCAGATTTATACGCCGTCCATCTAACCGAATCGACGGAGCAGAATGAGGCGACCGACATCAACAAACCCTGCGCCGCGGTCCCGGATGACTTGGCGAAAATCATTCGGGAATATCCTGAGATTTTCCTGGACGATTTGCCAAGTGGACTGCCACCCGAACGACCCCAAGACCACAAAATCAAGCTGGAGCCCGGCGCGCAGCCTACTGTACGCACGCAATGGCGTCTGACTCAGCCGGAGCTACAGGAGTTACGGAACCAGCTGGACTACCTGCTAGCAAAAGGGTTCATTCAGCCGAGCACGCCACCTTTCGCAGCACCGATCCTGTTCACACCAAAAAGGACGGCGGACTTCGCATGTGTACGGATTATCGTGCCCTTAATCGGGTAACGATCAAATCGCGCTACCCAATCCCACGAACGGATGAACTGATCGACAACCTTCGCGGAGCTCGCTACTTTTCGAAGATCAACCTGCGTGGCGGTTACCATCAAATTCGAGTGTTCGCTGACGACTGCCACAAGACCGCGTTTCGTACTCGCTATGGGAGTTACGAATACACGGTGATGCTGTTTGGATTAACGAACGCCCCCTCGACGTTCCAACTCACCATGAATGGGGTGTTCCGCGATCTACTCGACAAATGCATGATCATTTACCTGGACGACATCTTGATCTATAGCAAGACTCGGGTGCAGCATTTAAAAGATTTGGAAGCGGTTTTTCAGCGGTTGCAGCAGCATCTACTCATCACCAAGGGATCCAAGTAAGAGTTTTTAAAATAAGAACTGGAGTTCCTGGGGCATGTGATCTCCACGGAAGGGATTCGAATAGACCCGAAAAAACTCCGGGCCATTCAGGAGTGGAAACCGCCAACAAATCTGCAGCAGCTGCAATCATTTCTGGGTTTCGTGAATTACGTGCGGCGGTTTATACCCAACATGCCAGGGTTAACTGGACCTCTAACCGACCTACTGCAGAAGGGGACTTTTTACGAGTGGGGGGAGAAGCAGCAAGCTGCGTTTGAGACATTAAAACATCTTTTAATGTCGCCACCGGTACTTCGCATCGCTGACCCGGAACGGCCCTTCGAAGTCATCACTGACGCAAGTGACATCGCCATCGGAGCAGTGCTCATACAGGATTTCGGCAATGGGCTTCAACCAATTGCATACGAATCTCGGAAAATGCAATCTGCTGAGCGCAACTACCCGGTACACGACAAGGAGATGCTGGCGATCGTCCAGGCGTTCAAAATCTGGAGGTGCTACCTGACTGGAGCAGACGTGACGGTACGAACGGATCACAAATCTCTATAGTACCTGAGAGCGCAGCCGAATCTCAACCCGCGGCAGATACGCTGGCTGGACTATCTGGAGTCCAACTTCACGTACAAGATCACTCATAAAAAAGGCACCAACAATATTGCCGACGCCCTTTCCAGACCATCTGCCCAACTCGTAGCAGTACTAGTCGCCCAGAGCAACCCGCTATTGAGTGGACTATTTACCCACGGGTATTCGACTGACCCCTTCTTTGTAAACGACGGCCATCTCCCAATCACTACACGGAAAGGCGTTTATTACTTACGAAGCGGGACTGATTGAATTTGGGTCCCAAGTTATCGTCTACTTCGCGAATTACTAATTCAAGAAGTCCACGATTCGAATTTATCAGGACATTTCGGGGTTGATAAAACTTTGAAGGCGTTGCAACGGTTTTATTACTAGCCAGATATGGTGACGGACGTGCAGCGTTACGTGGCTGCGTGTCCGATCTGCCAGCGAATGAAGTCATCGCACCAGCGACCTACAGGAATGTTGTAGCCCCTCGAGCCACCTCAACGCCCATGGCAACACGTAACGATGGATTTCGTTACGGGACTACCGGCCGGACCCAGCGGAAACGACACGGTTTTGGTTGTCGTTGACCGATTGACGAAAATGGCGCATTTCGCACCATGTCGTACAACCATCACAGCCGAAGAAACAGCGCGCCTATTCATCTCGACCGTTG